GAGAGAGGGAGAGGGAGAGCGAGGGAGGGAGAGGGAGAGAGAGAGAGAGGGAGAGGGAGAGCGAGAGAGAGAGAGAGAGAGAGAGAGAGAGAGGGAGGGAGGGAGAGGGAGGGAGAGGGAGAGAGAGAGAGAGGAGCTTCTGAGTCATGGACACCAGTGGCTGCTGGGATGATCTGGAATTGCTGCGGGTCGGCTGCACGTGGGACCTGACAACTTCTTGCTGAGTTTGCTGGCAATTCCTTGCACGCCCCTCTTCATATTACTTCCTTAAAAGAGCATCGCATCAACTGAGTCAAACCCTGAATCAGAACCTGTTAAGCAAGCAATATGGAAGAACCATGCCACAAGCAAATGTAACCTAAGTGGAACACGAGCCCCAGGTGTGCTGCATAGTTCCGGGCAAAGAGGACGTAGGAACCTCGGTCGCACTCCATTACGGCCCCTCCTAACTGGAAGTGGCGACGGTCCATGTGAGAGTTCTAAGCTCCCGGCCGTCAGTGACTTGCTTATTCTACGTACCTTCACATTGACATGATCTTGGCGCGGAACTTCAGCATTGGGCTGGATTGCCATCCCTGCCTCCTCTGCATCCGCCTCAGACACACCAGGATTGGTCGCTACCTCGGTAAATCCGTCGGACGACTGCAAATTTCGAAACATCGAACAGACAGTGTGCTGCTACCTGTACAGGCTGTGCACAAAAAGTCACAAAAGCACAGACGAGCGCGTGCCAGCACAAGATCCTGGTGCCACGCCCTGTCCCAAAAGCCACACAGGTCATCGTCCTGAGTAGGGAGCTATCCCCAAATTGCTGTACTATCTTCGATCCAAACCCAGCAAATCCACGGGAGTCCTGTTCGATTAGATGTCTTTGAGGCCCTTCAACACCCGAGACGATTGCTTGTGCAGATGCTGCCTGGCACAGATGCGAGAACAGCAGAGACACCCGGTTGCGTCGGCTGTTTCTTTTGGTCCAGTCTCACTTTGGTCCATGCGTAGGTGGCCAGACATGCACCCGTCTGCCTCTGCGCCACCAGTGCCAGATTGCTTTGACAATGCCTTCAAAGCTGCCAATGTGCCACCAAGGTGTTGATCCCCATCTAAGCTTCCCGAGTCCATTGGTCTATCCAACGCTGACGGTGTAACACCTGGTAACACCTCTCCTTTACAACCTGCAGAGACTTCTCCTCGCTTACAAAAGAGACTTCCGCTCTGAGGGCCTCAATTCCGAGTGCAGCAGCCAGTTTTGCCTTCAGCGCACGGATCGACCTGCCCGAGGCGCCGCAGGCCACGAGGAGAACGAAAGCTGCCGACCAGTAGGGTGGGCCTCGGAGGATTCGAGAGCCGCGGTCCATAGCTACAGTCAATGACAACGATGAGAAGCTTCCATCTGGAGGGCCCCTTCGCAAGCGCGGTGAACGGTGAGCCGTCTCAGGCACCAATGCTTCAGACGCGCCTCTCTCGCCGAAAGATCTCCCCACTCTGAGACACCCTGCAAAGACAGGCTCAGCCCCGCTTTGCTTTCCAAATATGTGGCAGATGGCCCCAAGCTTACCACTGCAACTGCCTTAAAGTACGGTTCATGAAAACATGTTAGACAGAGAGCATGCGTTGACGCGCCCGGGCCTTGTCTGGGCTGGCATCTGCCTCAAGTCGAATGCAGCTGTCACAAGATCTCCACGGTCTGTGGCTTCTCTCACGAACTATCATGCATGAATCCTGAGCTCCTAGGTCTTTGGTCTTGGACGCTGATACCTATTCTGCAGGTGTCGAGCGTGTGTGCGGATAGATCCGAGTGACCCAAACAAGCTCGCTATCAGATCCGATGCTCCAGGCATGAAGGGGGAATCCTGAAGACATGTCGAACAGCCTCCTGCGAGATCATCGCGCTCCATGTTGTATTTGGTGGAACCTGCACCAGGCAGCGTGTGGCCGTGGCTCTCAAGGCTAAACTGGTGGCCGTGAGCCTTCCATGTATCGTCAGGGTTTGGCGACATAGCGCACTTGCGACACCCCTTCCTACAACTGCTATGCACAGGTCGTCTCTCCAACTGTAGTTGAGGAAGCTGATGTGGTCATGAGTCTGATGCTGCTTTTCGTGGCTTAGAGTGGACTTTTGTTCTTGCTTGACTATGCATGCGGTCCATGGAATGACTAGACTCACCAAGTTGAGAAATTTCAGGAGCATCTTCTCAAATCGCACTTCCTGCCTCTCTTGTCCCTGCTCCAGAACATGGAAGCAAGCGCCTGCCTGGTGTTTTGTCCCATCGCTGTTCGACGGGTGGAAAATCCAACAGGCAAATTTAGCCCGTCCAATCTGTACAGTCGCTCTTCAGTCTCACCGAACAACATTGAGCTGATGCGCATGTGAGATGTGATGTGAATAGAACCGCTGTGTTCGTTGCTGGAGCATTTTCAGGGCATTGGAGTGACACTGGGGGCGACAGTCCGTCATTATCCGACTCGCTTGCACAGTTTCACCCTTCAAGAGAGAGCTTCTCCGTCTTCTCCGTCTTCACAGCCTCCACTGCTTCCTCTTCCTGCCCGGAAAGGTGCGAGCTTCAGATGCCACTTCGAATCTACGTCTGGCTGGTGCTCCTCATTGGCCTCCCAATGTAGCTGCGTGATCTCTCTGCGAACCTCGGCTCTTCACTGACAGCTAAGTTGGACGGAGAATGCTTCTCTTTATTATCTACACGGCTCAGCACCTGACCCTCTGCATCTCATCATGGTCTGGGCCGCTCCGCTCCCACTTGGAGGCCCACCTCTGACAAGAATCGAGTCGCTACACATAGACACCTCAATTGCAAGTGCTCTCGCCACCTCTGGAGGTTGTTCCACATTGAGCGCGTGCCTAAAGCGCTCAAAAGGTCTGACAATGTCTGACAGATAGAGCTGGTGCAGACTTGCTGTCCCTGTCTCAGCCCCCTGCAGACACGCATGCTCGGGAGCATCTTAACTATCAGAATTGCTTGCGGTGCAACCAGATGCTTGATGAAGGTGACCTGGCTGGGACAAAATCTGCAGCATGCCGGTCGCTGTACAGGCCGAGTTGTGTCAAGCTGTTCAAAGCATGAGAGGTGGAGAGAGAGAGAGGGAGAGAGACGGGAGACAGGAGAAGCCTCAATTTTGCCCTACTCATCCTGCCAAAACGACCATAAGGCCTAAACCCCTCAACCCCGAAATCCCAAAGCCCCCAATAATCTACACATGCGGGAAAATCCGATATCGATGTGGAGCAGAAGATTGTGGCTCTATTCTATGCCCTGTGCGTCGGGCGCTACAGGGAGCGTTCAACATACACAAAATAATCACGGCGATGGAGGAACAAATAGTCCTCAATCACCATGCCTGATGCATTCTGCAACCTACTACTGTTTCAAAATATCCTTGCAAAGTTTGGCTTTGAATGGGTGGCATCAAGGCGGAGGAGCGCACGTGGCACATGTAAAAAACCGCGGCATGCCATGAGTTCGCCAGCGTTGACACCTGGACGAATGGCACGTTGACCCGCGCCCGGTCATTCAACGGTCCTGGCAGACTCTGCACTCTTCACCGACTGCACCGCGTGGCGCTTGCACGACGAAGCTCTGACTGCACGGTAGACCAACAAGCCGGCGGTGCCTATCGGCAACTTGCACATCCTCTCCCTGTCAGCCTGGCACGCAGCTGGGCCATGGCCGGACTCCGACAGGAGCTCAACTTCACGCCTGCTTGAAGAACTCCTCGGAGACGCGCGCTGCCTGAAGGAACTGATCCGTCGGCGAGATGAAAAGCGAAGTCTCCAAATGGTCACCAAGTTCTTCTCTGCACTCTCTGACCCTTCGCGGGCGAAAGACTTCTGCCTAGCAAGTCCCCCACCGTGTCGTCTCAGGTCCAGGCCCAGGTCGAACAAATCTCCCAGGTTTTCAGGGAGTAGGAGTTGTCCGTGAAGTGCAGCAGAAAGTTCTGACATCCAGGATGTATTGTGAAGATGAGTAGAACGGAACATGACGACTGTCAACTCTTGCCAGGTCGTCCCGAAGAGTGTACTTCACATCCGCGTTCCAAAAGTACTCCTCGCAGAGAGAACCACCAACACTGTGTGCAAGCACTGACGAAGGTCGAACACCCACTTTATCTTCATCGACGGTGGAGCGGAGTCTGGGTTCAGGATCCTCGACCTCTGCATTGGCTTTGGCCAAGACTTCCTGCTTCTCTTCGTCGTCTTCCCTGCATGGGTTTTTGCATGGCTGGGAGTATGTTTATTTGCAATCTGTACAGTGGCCCTTGCCCATCCTCAACAACTGATGGATGTACTCGAAGAGCTCTTGTTGAATCTCATAGTGCCGCAACCTGGCTGCAAGAGCTTCCCAACCTTATAGGATCCTTCAGGTGACGTCGAGGGTTCTTTTCAATCTGGCGAGGCTTGGGAAAATGCCAGACAGGTCCGGGACATTGCATCAACACGTGGCAGCAGAGCATGTGCGCCATGAGAGACTCGTGGCACCTCGAACCGCGAACCCAGCCGATGAGTTGGAGCGAGCTGCAGCTCAGCTTTCTGAAGTGCAGACGCCGGATCGCAGTGCAGAATCGCGCTGACGATGACCTACGCTCCAGCTCATCCGGGCTGAAGATTGCGCATGTTCCCTGCCTGACGAACATCTCGACGAGTGGGCTCGTCGAAGTTACTGAAGATCGCTGTTTCAGGAGAACTCGCGAGGCGGAAAAGCCTGCCAGGAGCGACACAGAGGGCTGTGAAATGAGCACTACTCAGGTCTTTGCCAGGGAGCTTGGCACAGGACATGTTCTGCAGGCAGGACTGGTCGTTGTACAGCAATGCCAGCTCGTGACTGGAGTCGCGGAGAAAGCTGTTGTTGACACCTGGCTAGAACTTGAGGATGCTATGAGGAGCATCAACTCCATAGCCCAAAGACCAGCCGGGGATTCCAAAATGACCAACATCATGTGCTAGAGCTGCCAGCATGAGGGCCTCACAACGAGAGAAAGTACTTTAACATAGGCCATGCTTCCGTGCATTGAGACTTCAGCATGGCGTTCATGGAGTGCAAGGAAGTTGGCCGCCTCGTCGTTGTGTCAGAGGCTCGCTCTTTCAGGTTGGACAATATCCAAGCGTATGAGCTGCAAAAGATCAACTAAGACTAGCTGCGGATATGCGAAGATGGTTCCATGAAGACGTGTCGCCCATGTAAAAGAAAGAGAGAAAGGCTCTCCAAACCAGGGCCCGGGCAGAGGTAACGTTAAAGACGATGTGCAGCGAGAAAGCCACGTCGACCTGCTTGGACGAAAGAAGCTGTAGCTGAACATGCGACTTAATAACTCAGCATCTGGCCGCATGGATCCAATTATGAAACGGAACTTCCTGACAAAATCTGCAATGCAATCGTCGGACTTTCTGCGGAACACCCCTGCCTCCTCATCTCGAAATTGATGCTCTAATTCCTCGCATCGACACAACGACGAACGAGCTTCGCTTTGAAGTGCTGAAAAATTGCGAACACACATCCGGGGGCTGCCCTGAGCTTGCTTCTGGTCCAATTGCAATTGTAGGCCCGTGTGTTTAGAGTTTTGCCCACAGAACACGCAAAACCGCTCTGCCTTCACGAACTCACAGTGGCAGGTGTATTTGGTCACACTGACCGCTTGTCTTTCGTTGAACCTTGGCACTAGCATTTTTCAGCTCAAAGCTGCAGGTCAAGTTCGCGGAAGCTAGGGCCAGATCCCCGGAGATGTGTCAAACATCGTCACCAAACACCGTGCAAGGGAAGCTCGTTGCCTTAGGGCCACCACACGCTGGGCTTGTCTTGTAGATGTCAAACAATCATCTTGGCACTTCGCCCGATATTCAACTCTGCAATGTTGAAGTCCCAGGAAAAGAAATCATTGCGCGAGATCTCTGCCTTGGCGAGTTGACACATCCACCACAAATTGAGAACATGGCGGCTAGCAGCATGCTGCGCATTTACTGATACCATCTAGGACTGGCACTGGACCAAGCTCTTGTCCAATACTCTCCATCAGCCTGCTGCATCGCGCGAGTGCACACGTGCTGTCGTATATGGAACAGGCATTGTAGAATTGCCACACTTAGCCGCAGCCAAACGTGCACAGGATGGCACAGGGAGCTCACTCTCTTCGCGTTCTGCTTCAGAGTCCTGCTTTTTTTGGGGACTTGTCGGGTCTCGCGATGTCAAAGAGTCATCGACAGCATGCCGATGAGGGGCTGAGCGAGGCAGCATGCGCTGATGCCTTGCGGCTGCGTACCTGATCGGATGGTAGTTTCAGAATCTGTTGTGGGACATGCAGCACGGCTTGAGCTACACCCGCTGCACTTTAGCAACATTGCAACCATGACAGGCAGAGTTGTCGCAGCCTTCTAGTGACCAAGCTCTGTCTTTTCTTCCAAGGGAATGAGCAAGCGGCAGCTAGGCGTGCCCTGTCTTGCTAAGTTGATGTGAAGTTGTAAATACTCAGTCATGGCTGGTGGAGACTACTTTAACTCATTCTCGCATAGGAAAATACCTACCTGCGGACATGTACAACCCATGCGAAATCACCAGAATGCAAATTGTAACCTCTGTGCGCCATGGTCGGCCAATGTGAACGGCGCACGTTGCGTAGTCTGGCAAGAAAGCACATGGCCCGTCACCTACCCAATTCGGCATGCGATCCACTGTGACATGTGCTGGTCTTAGCAGAGCCCAAACAACCTGAGTGTCCAGCCAAGCTGTTCGAACTCATCTACTGGTCTCTTTGCATTGGCAATCAATGTCAAGAGATCCAACTTCTTGAGAACCTTTCCGATGAGACAAAGTCGAACTGCTAGAAGCTCAGATCAAATGACGTTGGGGTGTGAGAAACTTCGGTTTCCGCAGTTATCGATGGCCGCCTTGGCCAGTAAGCGCACTTCGTGGGAGAAGCGAGTCCTCCCCTCGTCCTGCAGTTCATGCCCCAGTTCATTTGCACCCTTGAGTCTCAGCGAAACATAGCTGCTAGACTGAGAAAAACGGGCTAGGCGGCAGGACAGTTCATGTGTGAACATTGCAAGGTTGGCCTCTGCTTCCACATGTGTACTCTGCTGGTTCGAATAATCCTGGCACATCTTGTCAGCTTGTTGCACGGCCAACTTCAGTAGGACCTTCAGCAGCCTGTCCTTGACGAAGTAGATCGCCATGTGTTCCACTGCGTCAAAAATCTGCATAGCAGTAGAATGCACCTCGGCCGTCGGTTGCGAATGCGCAAACAGCTCACCAGCTGCGCTTCGTGTTCTGTCCAAACAACTTGCAACATGCTGCATCGGGCTCCGACAATTTCCAGAAGATCTTCGACCGGAGAAAGGACCTTGCCACAGGTGACAATTCAGACTTACTCTGTCGCACACTGACAAACACAGGAACGTAGGCAAGGGCAGTGTAGGACACGGCAGAAGCAACACCACCGGATGCAACCTGAGAGGATGTGAGCTGTTGTTAATCTCGGGCTGCCAAGGTCGCTTCCATTGGCTACTTGGGGTTCTCTTTAAACTCACGCAACTCGGACAGTGTGCAAGCTTCGGACCATTCATTGCTTAGACAACCAAGATAATTCGGTGCTGTCTGTTGTTCTGCTATTCTTATGCGCCTTGTCAAATAACATCCTCAGCGATGTGGAGTTCTAGAACCCTTTAAGCTAATGCAACTGGGACATTGTGCAGGATTGGTTCACTGCGTGAAACGCGGGAGGCAAGTTTTCGCTTAGCCGAAGCAAAATTGCAATCGACATGATGCGATACTAGTGGCCAGGAAGCACACCCAACAACATGAAACTCACCTCGCTTCCTCTGCACCCACATGCATTTCGGCAAACAGGCCGTCATGATGGACGGGCCCATAAGATTGTTCTCGGTGTCGGAGTGGGGCTCATCCGAGCTCGTGTGGCCCTTCGCGTGGGACCGCACTTGTGGTGCCAAGCGGCCACAGCGGCTGCGCAAGCGAGAAAGGCCCCTGCAGTGCATCTCGCGCCAGCAAGGCAAACCACTGGATCAGTTGACGGAAACGATGTGGTGCTTCTCGCCGTGGTGTCAATGGGTCTGTGCTCACCCTTGGTTGCCTTCTAATTTCGACGGTCTTGAAGGGCTGCGCTTGCGGCTTTGGCAAAGGACACGAATTTGAAAAAGTCAGCGCCGAAGATGATTTCGTGCATCAGTCCCAGCCGAAAGCTCTGGCCACGGCTGGGGAAATGAATTCAGATTCGGGTTGACGGGCTTTCTCGTTCGCATCTTCAAAGAGGACCCTTTATCGAGCTTTCATGGAGGCCTACTGTAGCATCTCCTACATGTCGCCAAGATTTGCCAGTGTAAAGTAGTAAGTTGTAACATGCCCTGGTCTCCAACAGTTACACACACCGGCCTTGAAAGACAAGGGCTGGGACACCTGGAACTCTCTTGATTGCAAACCGTGTCAAGCTCATCTCTTGGTGATCACGCATCTCGCTGTGGGTTCTTGGATCAGCGCAGGCAGATGGACTCAACACTGCCATCCGCCATGAATCCCAGCGGGACCAAGGCTGCTGCAAAGATAAAGAGTATGACAATGAACATCAGCACCACCTGGTGGAGCGGCAGAAGCAACGTCTTTTCCCAACATGTTCTTCTTCTGCAGCCCAGAGACATTCAGAACAGCCTCGGCCAGAATAGGTGCCCTGAACGGGACTTTTTCGACTGCATCTTTGGGCCGGCAGAAATCACCACACGGACACCGAAGGCATCCAACCACAAAGTCGCAATTTCTGATACTAGCAGACTAGCAACCACAGGAAAGTACCTAGCAAATTGAACTCGCAAAGCTGGTTCAACGATACCTGAAGAATCAGCTGAAGCAGCGCAGCGCAGCAGAGTCTGGCGACTTGCACATTTGCATTGACAGCCGACGGAGGTCGAAGGAGGACCACATGGTCTTAACCAGAGACATGACGACAGCAAAAGGTCTAGGGCAACCGAGATGACCTGTGCTTTGTCCCAAGAGCCAAGAATTCAGTGCAAGCTGCAGGAAATTGACCGGAGAACAAGTGTCCCGAAAGCGCTTAGATCAGCGAGGTAACAACGAATAACATCTCATCCATCCATCCTTGCTTCCATACATCTGCAGATGCTTGCATTCATACATGCATTCATGCATTCATGGGTTTAGATTCATTCGTTCATCCATCCATCCACTCATCCAGTCCATCCACCCAGACATCCATGAATCTATCCGTCCATCATCAACTTCCTTTCATCCACTTCCATTCATCCACTTCAATTTACCGACTTCCATTCGTCCATGCACGCATGCATTCGTCCATCCACTCATCCATCTCTCAACCCAGCCACCTTTGCATCTACAGGATGCCATGCCCATGCTTCCACCGGCTCCGATACCACTGTCAATGTCGAGACAAACATGAAGCCAATGCGTTGGAAACTTACAACACCGAGAGGGCTGTCAATTCCGAACACAAGTCGCGGCACCACACACTCAGCGCGATTTGGCTCGAATCCTTCTCCTCAAGTAGTGGCGGGATTCCGGAGCACCGCCAAGATGCTTCCCCCATGTACTAGCGATATGAGCACGTGCCAATCGTCACGGCGCCACATGCGCAGCACGATTCGGGCCTCGAAATTTTTCTCCGCAAGCACTGGCGTGATTCGGATGGTATTCAGGAGCACACCCAAAATGCTTTCCCCGTGTACTGACAGGATTCAGAGACGTCACCGATATCTTTCCTCCAGGCACGGAGCCGCACATGCAGCACCCGGACAGCTTCCGGCGCAAAAGCAGCACAGAGCAAGAACCAAGCAGTCTCACTCGCTGAGGCGCAATCCCATCTCAGTCAATAAATACACCCAGCGACTTCCATCAGAAGTGTCCCCTCAAGCCAGGATAGATGAAATTCAACAGAAGAAACACACAGACTGTGGCCTAGGACTGTCGTGCTCCGGAATAGCAGCAGACTTTGCTGGCTGCATCTGGGGACTGCGTCTTCCACGCACATGCGTGGCTCAACTTGGCATGACGGATCGCAACAACATGCTCGTCGACACACGCTGCCTTCAAAACATGTGGATCCGGCCTGAAGTTGAATTTGATTGCAGCATCCTCTTTCTCCAAAGTCACAATATCGGCTTCCCTCATAGGGGCCTTGGAAGGTCACACACCCTTTCGTGCAAGCGGCAGTTGCAGAGGGTAGTAAACACTTGGAGTCCATCCTTTAATGGCGGCTTCCCTGCTCGCAGCGTTCAGGGTTTTCAGCGGGCGACAGAAAATTCACGTGGAAGGAGGGCTAGAAAACTTGTCTGTTCACGTGGAAGCTAGAAAACTTGTCTGTTCACGTGGAAGGAGGGCTTGGAACAGCCCCAAAACAACGGCTGTTGCCTACAACCATGTAGGCGTTACAAAATGCGTCATTGCCGCGACTGCGCTTCATGAATTTGAGGCTTGAGGACTTCACTGCAGACCATGTGTACAAGCCGTACCCCTCTGCCGCGCCTCTGCCATCCTGTCCCGCTTTGCATGGCTCAACTTCTCAATAGTGGGCCAGCTTGCCGTGAGGGGGGGTCATCGACACAAAGTCCGACGAACTACATGTGGAGACAAAGTCAGCTTGCTGGTTTCGCACTCAGGGTCTTGCAGTTGCGCTCGCGATCACCTGGAGACTCAGATCATTCGTTCAGAGGAACTGACCAGCTGACGCACATGCAGCTGAGCGCGATGCGTGAGAGATTTGTGTGTTGTTGATGGAATACATCACTTGGAAGGGATGGTATTCCAAGACCTGCAAGAAATCCGGGCACAGGACATTTGGTGACAGTGGTTTCACTGCTTCGGTGAGGGTCATGGCACCAACCGATACTCCAAGGCTAAGACGTTGTAAAACTGCCTCATGTCCTCAATGACCTTCGACCGGAACAGTTCGCGTGACATCTTGCGATGAACTGCCATAAGCACATGTGAAAACTTTGCCCGGAACCGCCATAGCATCCTCTGGATGTGTCCTTCTGAACCGGCCAAGGGAAGGTGCGAGCCGCGGGCACCGAGGCGATCGAGGCTCGCACTTTGACGTCCAGTAGAGCTGGCTGGTCCATGTGGCCATGGAGTTATCGTCCCTGCGAGATGCTCCACAGCCAATGCGTCTTCGACTAGAACTGACCAGGATCCCAGCGGAGGATACTTGAAGAAGTCTAGCAAGGGCAGAACCAACACCAAGCCAATGATCAGCATGGCTACCTGCGGCGCAACCAGGGCTGCAAGACACGCTCATGCTCACAAGCAACAACTAGAACTGCCTTGAGCGACAGGTCAGCCATCAACTCCTGGCAAGCAACCAGAATCAACAAGAGCGACGAAGAACTTCCGCTGGGAAAACGGCCAGCGATATTTCTTTGGCTGGACCTGCCGGTGCTGAGTGGTGATCAGCTGAAGCTGGCTGCATCACGGCCATCACGACCACTACTGCCTTGACGGCTCCTCTCCATTTCGAGCTGCTTGCGCGACCCAGGGAGAAAGCGGAGCAGCTTCGTAAGCCTGCCATGATGTAGGTCCCCTGCTCATCACTCTGCACTCTTCGGGAGAGCACACTGCCTTGACAGGCGCACAGCGCGTGCGCTCAGCTTTGCAAACTTCGTGACGCGAGCCAGCCCGGAACCCTGCAGCAGGCACGTTCCAACGAGCCTTAGGGGACTTCGTCTTGCATTCGCGTTGCATTGCCTTGCACTAAACGCTTTTGCTGGAAATCCAACAGCCTCAAAAAGACCAACGAAGTTGTCTGCCACCAAGGAGAAATCCAACGGAACAGACAGCATGCTGATGATGTCAGTGCAGAAAGTGTACCTCGGCCATCACTATTCGCTCAACTCATTCACAAAAACTCTCTCTTTGCCTGAACCCTGCACTTAAGCCTTCTATTCACCGAGGGCCGCACGAGCCGATGTAGGTGTTTGGAAACGCAATCACATGCGCTCCGAATTCAATTGCCTCGCTCTCTGCTCTCTTTAAGGACCAGTGTCAACCGAACCGCGATCGTCAATCAATGCATAAGCCACCGACAAAAGTCAAGAAAATCAAGACAAGGGCAACGTCCAGGGCCGTCCTGCCTTGCATTGCCTTAGGTTGAAGCGCAACAAGCAGCCTGAAATGCTTCATTTGGTGTTTGCTTTGGCGGTCTTCCTCAATGCGTCGAGGGGGCTAAAATTACCCAGAAATCAGGCAGGAAGAGGGCGAGGACCAGGTTTGTAGTCAACACGGCCTTCTGGAACTTGTTTCATCACAAACGGGAGTGGCAGAAACCCACCTGAAAAACGGGGTTGTCCAGCAGCAGTTTGACCTGCTGCAAGACCCGCAGAGCTGAAGCAGGGCAACAGGCACAGCATGCCTGAAGACGCACTAGCTGTGCAGTCGGTGTCGGCTCCGAGAGTGGTCGATCAAGCGAAAGGGGGAGCACGATGTTCACGTTGCTCTCCTAAGGTTCACGGAGTCTACGGGCCCTTGTGCAGGCCAGCGCAACGAGGACCCACCATGCAGATCCACGCAGGACAAACCAAGGCCAAGGCCTGAACTTCGGACTTGCAGTGCCCCGAAGCCAGCCACTGCAGCACGTGACAAGATTGCGAGAGCTTTAATGATGCACCACCGGATCTAGCTTCTTCTGCTGTCTAGATTCTAGTGACTTCAGCTTTCACAGCGCTTTTTGGCCACATGGCGGGTTGCATTGGCAGCAACATTTTCAATTTGTGGCGAAGGCAGCAAGACCGCCCGGTACACACGGGAAGCTGAAGCCTGCCAGGTTGCAGCGAATTCTGGAGCACAAACCGCTGAAGGCTCCATCCACCTCAGCTGCCTCAGCGAGGACACCGTTCTCACCAGCTGCCACCAAGTCCGCAGGACACTGCCTTTGAGGCCCTGAGCTGCTTTGGCTGCCCGGGCATGGGCACTGGTCTGGGCGGACTTTGCGGTCTGGGCGGTCCGGGGTCTGGGAATCTTCAAGGTCCAGGCTCTGAAGGCACGAACCAAGATTGTGGCGCTGGATGCACCCCAGCTCTGGCTACAGGCAATGGCCCGTCCCAGGCGCTCCAAGCCGTCGGATCTCAACCTCGCTCTTTCAGTGATGGTAGCTGACGCCGCCACCGTTCGTATTCGCCACCTTGCGAACACCGTCCGAACCACCCCCTCCATGGACTGCAGACCGTTTAACTCAGAGCGCCTCCGCAAGTCCAGCAGCGCTCCCAGCGCTCGGGCGCGCTCCTCGCGGCCACGTCCGTCACGGCCGTCTTGTACCGGCGCCAGGGGCAAAGAGGAGTCGAAGCAGCTCCGGAGATCCCGCATTTCTTCTGCGCTTTCCGCCAGCTGCCAACGCAAGTCCGAAACTGCCTCCTGCAACTCCAAGTTATCCCTGGAGTTCTGATCCTCGCGCGCTGAGAGCTCCTGCAGCTCGAGCATCCGAGCATGGAGTTGCTCCTTCAAGTCCTCGATCACGGCATCGGTCTCGGCTCTCTCAGAGGCCATGGCAGCTTTCTGGCGCTCCATGCGCAGGCGAGCATCCTGGAGTTCGGACCAGAGCTCCCCTGGGCCCGGGCCCGAAGGGCCCACGCTGCTCCGTAGCTCCAAAGGGTTTGGGTAAGAAGGCGCCGGCGCCGTGAGCTGTTTCGCCTCCCAGGCTTGAGGCATCCGTCGCGGCGACTGGAGGAGGGCCTCAACATCCTCGCGGGCTCAGCTTTCACCTTTTTTCTCGGTTGATGTGAAGACCACTATTTGCTGTTCGTATTACTATTCATGTTATATTTCTTCGCTTAAAAAAATGCCTACCCAGAGCTCTATGCCCGTGACCCGCAAGAAGGACATGCAAGGACTGCGGAACACGAGCGTTCGGTCACTCACTGAAACCAACTCCTGAATGTCCCCCGCAGACAGAAGCGACGCGACTGCGCGCGCAGCTACCGAACAGGCCATCCAGCCGAGACCGCGGAGGGTAGCAGAAAGCGGCAGAAGCCATGGGCCAAGGATGCCGGAGCAGGCAGTGCACTGCCGGTGCTGTCATGATCCTGGAGCTGTCATGGAAGCTTTTCCTTAACCTTGTTATGGCTGAAGTTTGGACCAACATCTGCTTCATGCGTTGTCCCAAGGTCCCGTGCTTGTCTCTCATAGTCCGCATCCAGCGAGCCAGCTTCCAAAGCGAGCCGCAGCGACAGCGGCTGAGATCGCAAACAAGGAAACTCACATGCAGTCCTGCCTGAGACTGCTCACGGGCTCTGACGGTGGGCCATCTGCGGTCGCCGCTGAACCTCAAAATCTATGTCATCATAGATTCTGGATGTGTGCCCGCTGCATAGCCGTTCATACCTTGCTTCACTCAAAGGCCGAAAGCAGCAAAGCGGCGGTTTCGACTTCAGATGCTGGCTTCGCGACCTGAGATGTTTTGATGACTGCACAAAGCCCACAAAACTATCCCAAACAACTTATGTCGGTTGCCGGCAAGCATTGCAGCCGCTCAGGCCTGCACCTCTCGAGCTCAGCAATGTAGCGTTGCAAGCAGTCCTTCACGGCCTGGTGACGCAAGCTCGCAGACTCCTCCGGTGCCCACGTCCGGCACAGGCACCTCGTCTCCCCGCTCCTCTGCCAACTCCATGCAAGTCCGGCCATCCTCACCGGGATTTATTCAGCGAGCAGTGAATGGATGCCAATGGCCCCATCCAAAAGCAACACACTCTGTCCGAATCTTGCACGAAGGGGTTTGCTCCCCCACGGATCAGCTCCTGCTGACATCGAAACTTGCCGTCGGCCCTCTGAGCAGCAAAGCTCTCGACAATACCCAGCCTTGACGACTCTCAACGGCTTCTCGGAAACGGCATAGATGAGACCATCTGACCTAGTGGGACCAGTGGATACAACATCAACACACGCATCTCCACCCTCAAATCAGCGATGTGTTGTTGAATGCTGCGCCAGTTTGTTCATCCGGTTCATTCCGGTTCTATCACCTTGGGGCCCCAAACCAGCATTCTCTCCGTACAAGGAGCCTCTGATTAACCCCACCGTGTGACTCTTTCGACATGAGGAACCCAGGCACAAGCCAAGCTTCAAAAATACGAGCTCCCAGCACAGCACCCAGCGCCAAAAGCTGCGTAACCTCTGCTGGGGCAGAGTGCAACTGAAAACAAAAATCAGCTTGACATCTTGCCAGAACATCTGCAGTGAATCCAGAGTCGTGCAAGTGAATCTAAAGTCGTGCAGGTGAACACTGACACAGCGAAATTTGGGGGTGCTGGGGCAGGCTCGCATTTGGGAGGCTCTACTGGCTCTTGCTCACTGGCATGGTTGATATCTGGTCATAGACAGTAGCTGACTTTTCAGAGCTAGGATCCAATGGTTTTTATGACCGAAGCTTTGTACGTCTCGCTGCTACCCTTTACCTGTTATCCGGGGTCCTGAACCATAAAGCCTGTGTGGCCCCACGAGCAGAAGACCTCAAAATCCAAAAAGCGAAAGTCGAGGCTCAAAGGTTAATCACCTCGTGTTGCCACAGGTCGGAAATGCTGTTTAGGGCTCAAGGTGTCCCAAGGTTCAAGGATGGGGACAGTTGCTGCAGATGCTTGTCTTGGCTGTTGACTTCCTCGCTTTGAGGTCAAGGATTCACGTTTAGAGGGCTTACGATAAAGATCATTTTGGTGTTTGTTAAACGTTGACAAATCAGTTGCTCTGGTTTTGTGTACATACTGGCTTTGCACCGCCTCCTGCAAGCGGTCTTTGGGGCTCTGTTAAAATTTGTGCGACTGGAGCTTTGTGCCGACCAACACACTTCCGCGTTCCCACATCCCCGATACCTAATTGAAATCAAGTTGGAAGTCTTTCTGCCTGCAAGGCTCAGACCATTCCTTGCTTAGACAACCAAGATAATTCGGTGCTGTCTGTTGTTTTGCTTATTCTTATGCTCAGCGACAAGGTGCTCAAGAACCATTTAAGCTAATGCAACTGGGACATTGTGCAGGATTGGTTCACAGCGTGAAACTTGGGAGGCAAGTTTTCGCTTAGCCGAAGCAAAAGAGCAATCGACATGATGCGATACTAGTGGCCAGGAAGCACACCCAACAACATGAAACTCACCCGGCTTCCTCTGCACCCACATTCATTTCGGCAAACTGGCCGTCATGATGGACAGGCCCATAAGATTGTTCTCGGTGTCGGAGTGGGGCTCATCCGAGCTCGCGTGGCCCTTCGCGTGGGACCGCACTTGTGGTGCCAAGCGGCCACAGCGGCTGGAAAAGTATCCGAAAAAGCCGCAAACAAACACTTTGGCGACCAGCAAGCAAAGCAGCAACTAACATTGCGAAGAACCGGAAAGTCGTTCCAAGCACCAGGGGCCGCATGGGCTCTCCTTCGCCCGGAGGCTTGCGCCTTAAAAGTGGCCGCTCTCCACGGGGCTCGAGCAGATTTCGGCATAAGCCGCTCTCCATCTCCTGCACGATTTCTGTGCGGAGGTCCAGCATGTTGTTGGACAAGATGTCGGTGATGGCTACATTGAGCGCATCGTGGTCGCTCGTGGCGTTCAGGACCTCTGGGTCGAGGCCTTGCCGAAGTGGCAACCTCCGGGCCCGGAGCCCTCGACGGGGAAGTTCAGCAACATGGAGCCGCCGAACGATCGGGCCCTCGCGTTGCCCGCCTCCTTGTATCCGAAGCTGGATAACCGGAGGTCGTACTGGCACTCCACCTCCACCGAGAGGTCTTCTACGGCGATGAAGGATGCCCACGTCGAGAAAAAAAGGCACATGTCCACTCACGGCCAGGCCACCGTGGGTGGACATGTGCGTTTTTTTCCTGACGTGGGCATCTTCATCTTGATGTCCAAGAGGTGCCCCCGATTGAACCCAGCCATTCTGCATCGGCTTCAGCATGATCTGCTCCGTCAACATGTTGTCTTCACAGGAGCTCTTGCACCAGACGTGCACCACTCACCGTGGTGTCAATGGAGGCGGCCGGTGCTCTTCCCTGATTGCCTTCTATTTCGAAGATCTTGAAGACCGCGCTTGCGGCTTTTGATGGCTTTGGCAAACTGCGTCCTGAAAAGGGACTGGACGTCCGTGCCGACGATGAGGCCGCGCAGGTTTCGCATGTCAGCCCCAGCAAGGAACGAAAGCGGTAGCCACAACAAAGCAGCCATGGCTCGGGAACTGAATTCAGAGTCGGGTTGACGGACTCTCTCGGTCGCATCTGCAAGATGGATCCTTTGCCGAGCTTTCATGAAGGCCATCTCCAACATGTTCCCAAGATTTGCCAAGGGTAACGCAGTGAATTGAACATGCACCAGCTGCAAGATGAGTTTTGAGGTCAGTCTGCATATGAAACCGTCGGCCAGAAGGCGTCGCGAGATTTGGAAAGGATCCTTTGAGTGTGATCCTTCGGCTTAGAGAGAGTGGGGGCCCGGCCGATGTTTCACAGACCCGGTGAAATGGACACGAAAACCTTCTACTTTTGGCACATTCTGAGGCGTGTCAAAAGGCCGTCTCTGAGGGCCTGCAAGGGCCTTGCATGTGCGCTGCACGTGCGTATCCCTCCACTGCAGGAAAGGCGCTGCTGCGCCGTTCTCCTGCAGGACCGCCTCACGTCAGCGATCCGAAAAGTGCTCGGAAGTCTCCGTGGGAACGGCCTCCGCGATCGGCGACAGGCTTCCACCTTTGTCAAGATCGCCCCCGTTCTCTTCCAGTATTTCGATGATCTGGGCCTCAGCGGCTACTAGTAGCGACTACCATCAACCACTTCCAGCCGTTATGCTCCAGTCTGGGACCTGGACACTCTTTTCTTCTTCATCATGCGGTCCATCCTTGCGCAGCAGACGCACACGTCAAGAATTCCTGCAGTTCGCAACATGCACCTTGCCCTGCAGGGAGACGGCCTGAACAAGTGAGCAAAAATCCCCCAGAGAGCCACGTTGCGCCCGGCACAAGGCTCTCCGACACAAGGCGCTGGCATAGCGAAGAGCTGTCTTGCCATGATCATCCACCTTTAGTAGTTCCCGGATTCAGAACTGCAACGATGAATCTTCCTGCTTTCGTATCGTCTGGGCATTCAACAGCATCTGGATCTGCTTCAGTGTCCAACAATACCTGGCCCACAGCCGGGAGCGCTTGAAGATTTTACAAAATGACCCGAAGGCCTCCACCAGGGGTGCATTCTTGTGAAAGCAGGCGAACATCAGCCTGGCCGGAAGCTGATGCTATGTAGCGATTTTCAAAATCCAACGACACATCAACATCACCCATCAACATCACCGTATCAGAAGCCTTGCCCTCCTCTTTTTCCTCCTCGTCCTCCCTTCCTCCTCCTCGATCATCTTCATCATGATGATGGGTTTGAGCGGGAAATTATCAAGAAACCGCCTATCACATCAATCAGTTTGTGTCAGATAGCATCATCACGTCTCAAAGTCAATTCAGTGTCAGAAAGAACAATACAAATTACCGTGGCATCAGTAGTCGCAATGAAAAAGCCAGGATGAATGACCCAATATGTACTGGCTTTATTAAGCAAGCATCCAACAAAGAAACTAAGCGTTCCAGCACAGAGTTCAGTGGCGATAAACTTGCTAAATTGGCGAAATACCGAAATACCGTAGCGAGCTAACTGAAAGTTCGAAGCCAAGAGACATGTCACAATGTAAAAGTAGTGCGGGGACGAAGTGCAACCACTAGACAGGGTCTGGCTCATGACACCCTAAACCCTTAGACCGAGGACAGTAGGGAGCTATGCCCTAAACCCCACAACACATTGGGTGGGAACCCCAAAACCCGACAATGGATGAGAAGTGTGCATGCAGAACAGTTGCATTCCACTAGGTACGGATGCGGAGGAACTTGACGCTGATACTTCATCTTGCGCTCCAGGCATGCTATGAGCCCGTGGACGAGTTCAATCCAGGTCGGGAGAGCGGCGTGGAACCCAGAGTGCTGCGTGCATTGGGGTTAGCCTGCACGCAATCACGGCCCTCAACGACATGTAACACGCATTTCCGGTCAAAGAAGAGCTGCAGAAAGAGCTGTGCATGGCGGAGCCTTTCCATAGATGAGCTCGTAGACGATTCCTGGCCCTGTCATGTCTCCAAAGCTTGAGAAGCTCGACCACGAACGAGGGATCCCGACCGTTCGGCAATGAGCGTCTTGCTGAGATCACCTCTCTCAGAGCAGAAGAATCAGCTCTTCCCCGTCACACTTATTGTAAGCTCCAGACATGCAGGAGAGTTACGTACTCATCCCCTCCCGCAACTCGCAGAGGAGCATTCACAGGAGCACCTGCTTCGATAAACCTGAGAAGCCATGCATGTTTCTCACATGCTGTGACACGCTCCAAGATTATGAAAGCTCCAGGGTGTCGAGCTTGCGCACAAGCTGAATGTCTCCTCTGAGAGCAGCCTGAAAGCAGCGGAAGCCAAAGTGCAAGGCGTCGCCAAGTGTTCACCGCAGCTCGCCTCGTGGAGCTCGTCGACACTGATGCTGTTCCTCGGGTGCTTGAAGCAGCGATCCAACATGATCCAACCCCATGCGATGCTGCGATAATTTACACATCTATGCCAATACGCAAACATACGGTGTGCACGCTTTCCAGGCTCTTCGCAGGCTTAATACCGTTGCCGAGACACACCTGCCCTCCGGGATCGCGCAGTCCACCGGGAGCATACCAATGTGCCGGCCTCCGGAGAAGCATCGGAAGCTCAAGCAAGTTACAACAAGCAAGCTACAACAAGCAACTCGGGCGGCAACTCTGTAGGTAGCAAGGATGCACGCTCGGAACGCCTCGGTAGAAAATCCTTTGCTGTTCTACACAGAGAAATCGAAGACAAGCAAAAAACCGAGAAGGATACGACCCACGAGTTGAACCTCTGAAGCGCAGTTCCTGAGCAAGATCTCGCTGCGTGCTGATTGGCTGCTCACTGCTAGGCGGTGAAAGCCACCACCAGCGTTCAAGACACCGGCTACTGGAGTTGAAGGCTCAAGTGCCATCCTCGCAAAAGGTGCCAGCAAGCCAGCCGAGAGTTGAGTAGCATTGCAGATCACATAGTCTCCTGCAAGCGAATTCCGGAAGTCTGGGTGCCCACAGCACCCACGGCGAGAATGCCACATCATTCCCTCGTTGCCATCATCCAATCTACCATGCACGCCACTCTCATGCACACTCGATCAATCCACTCACAATATTCTTTCCGTTGTGCAGCACATCTGCTCGTTCACTGTTGAACATGCATGCACGAGGAGTTCTGGATCTGGATGAAGCAGAGGACGTCTCGACCATGGTGTAGAAGGGCTTGAAAGATGCAACAGCATGCAGCATGGGCTGAGACATGCAGCATCACGAAACCGAACATGGTGCATTCCTGGCTTACACTGATTGTCCACGGTGCATACGTTTTGAATGACCACGGGACCAGGCCCACGAAATCAGTGCCAGGAAACCGTCACGGCTACAGTGCATCAAGGTTTGTGATGTTCCCCAGATGATTGTCGCAGTACCGGGTTCTGTATGCCTTATCGCAAATCGCACCGACCATCCGGGTGCTGGGAGTAACAGGAACCCGTTTGGGGAGTAACGGAAACCATTTCTGGGGGTCGTAACTGGAACGAGGGCTAGTAGAAACAGGAACCGCGTCGGGGCGTAACAGGAAATGTGCCAGGATAGCCAAGCAACCGAAACTATGCTGGAACTCTTGTATGGGGGACGGGTTTTCGGTCCCCTACTTTGACACCATGAACGCCTTGTGCTGATGCCTATGTTTCGTTCGAAGCATATAGAGTCTGGGGTCGAAACTGATTCGCGGTTTGGGATATAGGATGCCAGTGCCAATACACTCTTTGTCTCTGAAGCCACAAGTTGTTTCCTCATATGGTTTTTGTCGAAGGAATATGGATGTTTTATCTTACAAGAAGGCTCGTACCAATGCAAGTCGAAATTGTCGTACTACGAGTACTACTACGACTGGTGGCGGGGCTAGGCTTTTGCGCGCCATCGCGGACTGACCAGCGCCAGCTTGGCTTGTTTTCGGGGTTGAGGCTTTAGGCTTTTGGGTTTTAGGACTCTGCTGTAGAGGTATTTATTAGGTTTGGGGGTTCAGGGGTTTAGTGCTTTAGGGGTTCAGGGTTGACGGATCAGGTTCAACGGTTCAGGCATGTGCCAGTCGAGAACAGCTTTCAATGCTCGAGAACGGCTTTGGGGGTTTGGGGTTTCGGTCAGCTCTAAGCACCAGAAGTAGGACACAACAGCGTTCGTCATAGGACGTGCACACAAGTCACGAAATTTGCAGTTTGAATCGCACCAGACACACGCAGTGTTGTTCTGGAGCGTTGCTGGCAATACCGATGCTGTAGCCATCGGAAATTCAGGACAAAGGTTGCTGTGGATATGTGAGGTCAGTTTCTTGTGCTACATGACATGACATTTTGAAGCCATATGAGTGGAGGACCGGAAAGCGGTCCCTGGGTTGGCGAGCCCACGAGAGCAGGTGGATGTGAAACAAGTCATTCTTGGAGCCCGCACTGGTTCCTGTTACGAGGGGCCGTTCTTGTTACGGGGTCCCGCTACGGACATCCTGTTCCCGTTACGGCAAACAATCCCTACCATCCACCCGCGCGATCGACTTTTCCTTGCAAGCGAGGGAGCAGTAAGGTTGACTATGCGATGTGCCATGGACCAGCCCGACTTGGCAGCAAACTTGCGCGCCAGAAAGGGACGAAAGCTCCAAACCGGGGGCAAGCTGCGCGGCGGAAGAGGACGGAGATGGGCGATACTCCTTTTTCACTTGCCGCTGCAAATAACCCCCCCCGCACCAGGCATCATAAGCATCATCGGGGTCCCGCTTCTCCAAAAAGACGTCTCTCCTGGAGTCCCGCGTGCAGCCCCGAAAACGAGCCCGCGGGGCCCACACCTGCAACACCTCATGGCCTGGGGGTTGGCTCGAAAACGGAGGGCGTTTTGGGACAGTTCCTGAGTGGTCCCCCCACGCCCACACCCCCCAAAGCTGATCAGCAAAGCTGGGTCTCAAACGAAAGCTCTTCCGGGAGCTTTCATAACTTGCATTGTCGAAACACCTGCTTTCGCTCTTTTTTTGAAACCTCTGATTGAAAATCAAATCCCGAGAGGATCGTACCTTGAGTACCGTTCCTCTTTGGGAAAGCAGCCAGGAGTCGTGATGATTCTAGCTGACTCCAGATTGCAGTCAGGTGACTGGACCTACTAGGTGCGCAGAGCTGCTGATGATGGGCTAAGGCCCACACCAACTCCGCATCTCAGAAAGATGAATTCGGAACAGATCACTAATTGTCGCCGTACGTCGACTTCAGAGCGCACATCGTTTCCTTCAAGCTGTGGCTACTGCGGTTCGTAACTCAAGACACTCACCTGATCATCATGATCCTTGCTCAGGCACAAAACTCAATCAGGATCGCACCTCAGACGGAGGGCCTGTTGGACTGGGTATGCAAGGCTCGCACCAACCACCTGGGTCTCAAGCTGTTCACCGCGCACGGAGAATGCATCTGTGCATCCTGCTTTCTCCGATTCGATGAGAGCCGCCCAGGGCCTGCAGAAGGTATCGCTCCGGAAGCCAACACACGAGAGTTAAGAGCCTCTGGAATCCACTTTGGATCCATGAACTGGCTCAGAACCTCGAAAGAATGGCAGCAAAGCCAGTTCAGCAAAGGGAATCTCCAGGAAGCGGGCAGTCAATGTGTTCTGCGGATCTGCGATCTGAATCTTGTTTCGGGTGCCTTCATCCTGGCAACGAGGAGGCGCGCACCTCTTGCGCTCATTACTCAGCCCCTAGATTCCAGATTCCCGGTTGTGCTGGTGCAAACAGGAGCTGCGTGGCATAAACTGCCACACTGGTCCGGGCTCCACAGTTTCAAAACCAAGAACGCGCAAGATGCACTCCAACCCTGCACATATTCAATCGAGCTGGCGTTGCAAAGAAATGCGAAGCTATGTTCCACAGCGTGTACGCAATCCGCGGGACACGGATTGCGATCTCAGTCAGATCAAGCTCATCCTCTCAAGCAAGACTGCAGAAGCAACTGCACCAGTGGCAAAATGTCTCGGGAACCGGCTATTCGTTTGACAATCTCTGGGAAGTGATCTTCCAAAATCCGTACGCAGACCTTGTACCTTGCCGCTCGAAACGCAGAACTAAGGAAGACCTCCCAAAACCGTGCCAAGCCGCTTCATAATTCCCTTGATGTTGAAGTTGCGCAGACCTTGGAACTTCGATTCCGACAGGACGCTCGGAATGCAAAGCCTCACATGATTTGCAGCCAACTTGCTCATTTCGCCTAGATCAGTAACGACCGTGAAGTACATGACCTAAGAGAAGCTAAAACGAGGGGGCCATCCCTGGCCATCTGAAATGCGTATCTTCCTGCTTGGCCCCTCGAAGGTTTCGAGAAGCCCCAGGGTTGCTGCCGGCCGGCTGCTAAGGCGGGAAGCTTCTTCCAAGGCCTGCACATCCCACTCGGCCACAAGTGGAGCACTCACAAGGCCGAATCGCATCGTGACTCCGTGTGCACGCCGTGTGCGCCTGCATAATGCGGGTGATCGTGTAGACCTCGTGCTGTATCAGGAACTCTGTTGGAACCTCCATGTCAGCGCGAGCAAGGCGCAGCAAGACGTTCTTTCAGAGAGAGGAACCCTGGCCTGCTCCAGGAAATCCATGCTGCCAAGGCCCATCCTGAAAGCGAACAGACCTTCAGACTGCAAAGTCTTCCTCTCTTTGGCTCCAGCCGGTTCCAGTAGACGGGATCACCATCCAGGTCCTGTGCTGCCCAGGAGCACCGGGCAATCCACGAACATCGGCCGGCCCGCCACGCGCCACGCGCCTTGCCCAGCATGGCAGTCGGCGGCCAGCAACTGTCAACCTTTCTGTGAAGCCTCGGGAATGTCGCGCCAGGGGAGACATAAACCATCGAAGTGTTTGAGCTATCTGGCCATCTAAGTGCTGAGCCAGTCGTTCCTGGTGTTCATCCGAAAACCGAGCTCATAGCCCGTTTGTCGACGCCACCTGAAACAATGCAAACCCGGCTACAGCCAGACAAGAAGCCGGGGGACTTACCAGGCCTCATGGCTTCCTCGTACATCTTTGCAGCGTCATCCAAACCTTACCGCAAGATCGGCAGGTGCCCCCACCCCTATAGTCACGTTTCGTCGTCTGCGAGGTCCCACGTCCGCGACGGGCGCGAAGAAACCGCAGCATTGTGACCATGTCCTTCATGAAGCGCTACCAAAGCAGCATAGCAAAGCGATTGCCACATCAGCGAAGCTTCTTCTCACACATGCCTGATGCATACATAGTGAGTTCGCAGCTCTCATGGCAAAAGGGGCCTTCGCACCCTCTACATGCCGAACACGCTCACGAAGTTCGCGGCACTTCAACCTCCATTAGTTCCGAAAGCAGCGCTTGCTTCTTAATCAAATAAAGCAACTGACTATGATCTTGGGCCTTTCGCTCTCGCACCGCCCAGGAAGCAGGTACCTGTGTTCCGCGGTGCGCTCTGCTCAGCTGCGAAAACATCTGCAGGCCGCAACCGCTGGCGGCCAAGGAGCTCCCAGTGAGACGGCACGTTACTACCCAACCTGAGCATTCCGAGCCGAGCGAATCCACATTTCATGGGTCTAAGACCGCGACTCTTCGGGTGGAAAGCGGTCAAGGGAAGGCATTTTACCAGGCTCCTGGCCCGGTCAAAGCTGACTCAGAGGCACAGACGCACTGGCACCTGAGTTACGAACTTTTCTCCTGCAGTCTGTAGCCACAGAACTTTGGATGCAGATGTTCGTCACTTTGCAGCCACCTGACAACAGGAATGTGCGGCGGAGCAGTACTGTTTTGCGTGGGTAAGTAGACAAGTATCTACACAGACTTTTCCCATAACCTGAACAGGAAAAACATGTCAGAGCTGCACCGGCTGATCGACTCCACCTGTGTTCGATGCTCACATGTACATCTGAGTGTGGCGAGTGCAATCCCAGCGCGCCTGCGTATGAGTTGTGCCTGAGGACTCCACTCGTGTTGTCACTCCTGCGCAGCAAAGGCGTATCAAAGCAGAGGGGCTGATGCGGAAAAACCAGCGTCGGTTGGAAGCTCCTCTGTGCTTTGCAGCAATCGAGAAAGTTACATATCGATGCCTGCTGCAGCTCAGTTGTTGAGCAAATGCTGTCACCATCCACAACTCCGTTTTCGGCCTCCCTTTCCGGAGGGGCACCTTCAGCAGAGGATCCAACGCAAGCTCCAACCAGCTCCTCAAGCTTGCCTCTTCCGTTCTGCTCTTCCCGGAAGCCCCGGCCGACCTCGCAACTAGCGTTCGAATTTGCCGAAAGCGGAGCATTCACTGGGGCGCAGGCAGGCAGAGTGACTCTTCTTGCAGCCTTTGGGTCCGACGTCTTCTGTGGCTTCTTCGAGCCTGCGCACAGAACCCTCCGAGCTGCCTGTGTTTCAGAATGATGCTTGGCTCAAAGGCGTGTGCGTGCCTGAAAGGAATCGCACGGCCACTAGCAGATTGAAACACAAGCCGACCACGACGACACCTCTTCGACAGAAGCAAGGAGTTGTCTCGGAAACGAAACGAAAACGTGCTCAGGCACTGGCACCACTGGGATTCCGGGGTCGGAAAAGCCTCTCGAAAGCATTGCCTGCCGGTCACATCACAAGTGCTGGTTTCGACAGAGTAAAAGCAGCTGAAAGTGTCTCATAGTTATCCGAAACCCAAGAGCTATTCGAGAAACCGCAACACGCTAATCCGCTACTGCCAATCCCTCAAGCCGCAGTATTGACGCGACATTCCCTGCTGGCAGGTACGACTGGCCGATGAGATTTCTGAGAGTCAACTGCCGGACAATTGACAAGGGCATTTTGGATCTTACGATGGGCAGGCAGCACAACGTCCTGGAGGCAAGGGTTGTACTGCAAGCAAGATTTACTCGCATCGTTGGGACAAAAGCACAAGACCAATCGGAAATCTGTACAGAAAACGGGGAAAATGGCTGCACCTGTTCAACCTTCCAGCGCTCGCCGCGCAAAAAAGGATGCAACTGAAATATCTCTCGCCTGGGCTCTATACATTGCAGGCGGAGAGAGGGCAAGCCAAGATCACCTTCCGATCTTTCCTGGAGCATCTCCTGCCATACTACCACGATGCCATGCCGCTGAAGGACCATTTCGGCCTAAAGCGACAATGTCACCGGGGAACTCGATGTCCTTCCTAGGACCAAGGTATTGCACGAAGCTTAACTGAACCTCGCAGCAATCCATTGCCGCCAGGCTTCCTGCAGCGGCGTCTTCCAGCTCTTCAGTATTAGACTGCGATTCGGGATCGTCTGCTGTGGAGTCACCTCACTTGCAGACATGTGCTTTGCATTGCTTTGCACTTGGTCTCATCTCTCCTCCAAGGCCCGGGCCAGAGCTCTGATCCGCGCTTCCCTCGCAAAAGCCATCCTCACTCGCCTCGATGCTCTACGGAACTTCAAGCAAAACCAAAGTCTTCTCCGAAGGCCCTGCGGCAGGTGAAGACTTTCTATCGGAATCGAAATTCCCTTCGCTAAACCCGCCTATCGCATGCTCAGACACCCGATCCTCCCCAAAGGGCCGAAGGACAGCGAATGCAGGCGAGACACAGAGATGTCTGAGTAGATCAGGTCCTGCCGTGCCTGGTCACTGACGAATTACAGCTCACTACCTGCACAGTATAGCAGGCTGAACAGAACAAGCCTGCAGACAAGGATAACACTCGGGCCGTCCTTCTGAGATGGCATTAAGCGCAACTGCGAGGGAATGCATTTTCTGGTCAGCAGGTAATGCACGTAGACGGCAGTCAGGAGCGCAATGATCTGTGATGAGACATTCCCATGTGGAATGTTGTCCTGGCAGACTTGCGAAGTGCACAACCACATCCGCTGAGTCCGGTAACCAGCGACTCCCAGCGCGTTGCAAGGTGTTGCAGTACATTGTCAGCACATCAGACTGACTACATGGATGTGCCTGCAGCACCAGGACGAGAAGAACTCCAAACAGCTGTGTGTTCAGCAGCGCTGAGAGTGCCGTGGACATGGCCTCAGCAGTGGCCCCCCACGATAAGTTCTGTCCCATCTGGGTCATGGCTGGAGTCCCCGACAGCAGCAGTGCTGAGATACACAAACCTCAGAAAATGCCCAATAACTGCCACCGTGCACAGAGGCACGAGTCTCTTGCAAGCCAGGGCACTGCCCCCCCAAGGATTGGATCCACGGAGTCGCCCCCAAGGCAGAACCAAAAGATCCAGCCAGGAAGGCCTAAAAATGCAGCCTTTTACCTCTGCGCAAATTCTGCACGTAGCACAGGAAGAGGCTACTCCTCCAGTCCCCGTCAATGCCAAGAATCCACAGGGTATATCGCACCGCCTACAAAGCCACCAGCCTGCATATGCGAAAAAATGCAAGCAGTCACAAGCAAATCTGCAATCAAAGGAGCGAAGAGACTCAGAGCGCCTCACAAATGCTGATCATAACCAGCTTGACTATGCCGAGACCCACCATGGCTTGCGCCGACATGGGGAGACCAGGGGAAGCGTGGACTGCCGCCTCATGCAGTGCTGGTTTCGGCTTCAACTGGACGTGGGTTCTGAGGACCTTGCCGTGGACTGCAACTTCTCGTACCAATGGGGCCTTCAGTTCAGCCTACCCGGGCCGAGCTGTAGGGGAAGCCACGGTCAACAGCAGGTCTGAGTGCAAAGCAGCTCCAACGGCACGCAATCTGACATCTCTGTATACTCTCCGCAGCCACGAGTCAGCACCGCCTCTATTCAGTCATGGTCAAGACTTGCGGCAGCCGCTGATGATAGAGCACTGCCCCAAAAACAGAAAGGCCTGCAGCTGATCCTCTCCCCACCACAGGGCGCTGGGATAAAAGATGCCCAAGGCCTTGCTTGACTCGGCTTACATCCCCACTTGCTCGAAAGAGCTGCAGGCAGAACACACGTTCACAATCGGACGAGCATCTCCATTGACTGCCCCGATGCACCCCAGGAAGAGGGCAACATGTATCCTCCTGAAAACATGGATTGTTTCCAAGGCTTTTGGTACATGGAGCAGACATGAGCAGACATGGCATGACATGAGTCATCTCCTTCGCTGCCAATGCTTCCACGGCCCGGTCTCTTTCACGGACTTGAAGAGCCAGTGCAATGTCTTCATGCAGGCGATCAGCAGGTGAGCTGAGAAGCCTGCACAGATCTCTTGATAACTCTAGCCTATAGTCATTTCAGAAACCACCGGAAAAAACTCATCGCCCAGCCTCCCAGCATCCCTGCAAACGGTGCAAAGAGGATCGCTCCCACACCGAAAGGTCGCTGAAGGCTGCTTCCCGGAAATCCGAATCGACCTGAACTGATGCCGAGCTATCATTCCACGGCACTAGCAAGAAACCAATAAACAAACGTGCTGTCGAAGTGCTGTTCCCAAGAAGCGATGCTGGATGCCAGATGGAATCTCCAGCTAATGTGCCAGTGATGCTTGCAACGACACAGGCTGGCAAGGCCTGTCAGCTCGAGTAAACATGCAAGCACAGCAGTCGCTTCACACGGATCTCGTCAGGGTGAATCCAGTAAATCGGATCGCCCTGGTTGAAATTCGGACGGCAACCGACCTCCATGGCATATTCTGCACCATCCACGTGTGGCACCTTGCCCAGCACGTAAACATGAATCAAGGGTGCACGTGCAGCAAATCATTGGTGCGGTTGCCTCCAGGACCAAGAAGGCACTAGCCAGTGGCAGCCCGAAAAATGCGCTTAAGCCTCCAGCACCACCTACCCAGGGCAAATTTCGAGCCTGAAAACATGCGAAGACAGCTGTGGCCTGCCAGTGCTGCGACACGAATGACACGTCTCGGCTGCTTCAGGCATCCTGGTACACAAATGTCCTTCAAATGTGCCATTTGGCGAAAGGCGGTCCTTGAGCAATGCATGCGCAAAGGACGCTGGGAACCTGAGCTGTCCGGAGCTCCGACACATGCGTCGACGCAGCTGTTAGCCGTCAATCTGAGCAGGCATCAATGATGACAATGGGCTCCGGTCCTGACAAACGTCCCCGAGCTGCAACATCACTTCTGCCGCAGAAACAAACCGGGGCCGTTGCCCACAGCGGCACCACTAAGAGCTGTGAGAATGCCCAGAACAGCCAACTGTAGCAGCCACCACCCTTGCCAGCCACTGACAAATGTGTCTGCGACTTCTACGCAGGAGCTGCCAACGTGACTGCTCCACACTGCCTGCTTCTGCGGATCCACGAGGACCATGCAACTCACGCACCCAGATGCCCAAAGTAATGACCTGGATGTGACTGAAACAAGACAGCATCATGCAGCATCTCAGCATCCTCTGCACAGCAAGAGGCTCCGACCGCAGAAGAAGGCAAGGACTGCCGCATTGTCCCAACAAGCACTCCGAACAAGGCGCCCAATATCCAAGGGAGGTGCCAAAGGCCAAATCGAGCCTGTCAACGGCAACCCGCAACAGCCAGGCTGCGGAGAGGAATGCTGATGCGCCGTGGCCGCGGCTGTTAGTAAAAGAATTATCGCACCCTTGCGAACTTCAGGACAGCTTCGGCAAACTCCAGGACAATCTCGTCTGTTCGTCAGATAAGTCAAACACGCAATATCACAGGCGGCAACAACACATGGCTCGCAACGACGGTCCGCTAGCAAGCCAACTAAAGCCTTGCTTGATGTCGCAAATGACCGCAGTAAAAGAGGCTGGTGGATATGAGTTAGGGCAGCTAGGCGAACAGCCGGACAGCGGCCGCTTGCGTGGGCTCAAAGGGGGTGGGGTCTGGCCACCTACTGTTGCTGTCCGTTGCTCTGGACTCTAGCGCTGTAGTCGCCTCGTGAACATCTTCCCTCAGTTCTCACTACCAAACCTTTGCTCTTTCCAAGCCTCGGCTGTCCAGCCAGCGGCCTGACTCGGGCAGGAGCGAACACAGCTTTCAACCACTTCCTGCCAGGCCTCCAAGGCACGTGGAAGCTGGAACCAAACCAACTCCAGGCAAGTCTCCAGCAAGAGTTTGAATGCCTCGATTGCGCTTTCCAACACCGAGAACCTGACTCGTTCCGCAGCTGTCCTTCACGAGAAGACCGGACATCGCACCGGCTCCTAAAACACAACCACGGTGGGATCGAATTCTGATGGAAACGTGTGGCACCTGCTCCGAGCACTGCCAGCCCGTAGGTGGACAGACCATCATCGTCGCATGCCATTTCGTTTGCTAGCAAACCTGAAACTATCCACTACACACTACACACTAGCATTCCTCGACACTTTGTTCAATGTGGGACAACATGCAGGTTCAGATCCAAACGCTGCAGACTAGCCTTGATGCCATGACGCAAAACAACGTGCAGCTGCAAAGAGTAAGAGGGCACCTCAGCACGGACCACCATAAAGGATGATGAAAGAACATACCAACCTTGGTCCAAGTTCGGCGTCACATAGGCAATCGCACGGGTCATGCTGGAATCTTCGCCGAAGAATTCTGGTGCGCAGACATGGCGTATTTGCTGACAGGATGCCAGAGTAGCCACAGCCAGCACCCACAGGCACAAAGGGAAGGCCTTCTGGTTGGCACAAGCGAACATAGATATCTTCCCAACAAGCCAAAGATGTCAGGAATGACAGGTTTTGCAGGTTTCGCAACAACACAACTTTTGTTTCAGCCTGGTTGCGCTTGCAACACGTTTTGCTGCACAATGTGATCCGAAAACGCAAGCTCTGGTGCCCATGAAAGTCTTGGCCGTGATAGCGATTGTTTTCGCCAATGTGCTGAGGAAGCATCCGCACACAACGGACCTATGTTGTCACCTGCCTGCAAGGCGGTGCGATTGTCGTCGCGACCGCACCTGTGAGAAACAGTGATGTTGCACAACAGGACATAAAAGCATACGGCTGCGCCGTCTGCAGCGAAATTTCTGCCGGGGCATGCACTCCATCTTGCCCATTACCGACATGGCTGAACGCAGCAGATGCTGTATACAAACATCACAACACAAATTTGTACAAGACTGTACTGCACACAGAGGGTAACATGCAGGCAGATGTAGTCATGGACCTTAAACATCATGCAGCCGGCAGAGCTGTCTTCAAAAGATTTATGCTGTGCAGTCTACATGAGTCTACATGTCAGTCATACAATCTTACAATTCTATACTGTGCAAAAGCAATGTCAGCATGCGCAGATCACAAGAGCGCCTGTGTGGCTGAGGAGACATTTGCATGACGGCGGTCCTATACCTGTATGCAACGTCGCTCGGGCGAAACTCAGAGATCGTGTTGGGCTTCTCATTGGGGCACACAACACCAAAATAGGAGCAACACATGCAAATGTCGCATCATCTCCTAAAACCCCTGCAGGGCGCTCTCCGACTGTACTTTCCCGACAGCTGTCTAATGTCTATAACACTGAGACACTGACCATGCAGTGAGTGTCTAGCGCTGAGACTTCGGAAGACTTGCAGGACCAGGATACGTCCCAAAAAATTATGTATGAAAACCAATATGAAAATACTATGGTTTGCAAATATGAAAAAATGGAAAAATGGTTTTGGGCGGCCGTCCGTCCATTCATATTTTTCATCTTCGCAGCCTAATCAATCAAAGCATATTTTCTGTCATATTTAATTCAAATTTACTTCCTCTCTCTCACATCCATGTTTCAAAACTGCGCTATGTTACAGTGTAGTCTCTGGCTGTTTCGTTGTTCGCGTAAGTCCTTCTTCCCCGCTCCGGCCGGAACACGCTCCAAAACGCGGCCTAGAAGGCTCAGAGCTGATTTTTAGAAGCCCCGAAAATGCCCGCAAAGTCCATGCAAAATCTTTTGTAGTATTAGCAGTAGCAGTAGAAGTAGCAGTAGTAGTAGTAGTAGTGGCAGTGGTAGTAGTAGTAGTAGTAGTGGTAGTAGTAGTAGGAATAGGAGTAGTAGTAGTAGTAGTAGTAGTTTTTTAGTAGTGGTAGTAGTAGTAGTAGTAGTAATAGTAGTAGTAGTAGTAGTAGTTGTTGTTGTTGTTGTAATAGCAGCAGGAACAGGAGTCGTAGTAGTAGTTGTTGTAGTAGTAGTAATAGTAGCAGCAGTAGTAGCTGTAGGAGCAGTAGTAGCAGTAGTGTAGTAGTAGCACTCACTCACTCGATGCGCCGAATCGTTCATGATCCGCTGCGAGGAAAGACACATACGGCCCGGCGAATGTGCATCGCGCCGTAAGTTTACGGCTCCTGTGGAACAATCATTTTCAAAAAGATCAACTGAACTGAAAACGAAAGACATGTCGGCTCCCGGCTCAGTCCATGCCCTCTAGGAGGTCTGCATGAGAACTGCGAGCAACTTCACTGCCACTGCTGTCGACGATTTGTACATCCGCCTCACTAACAGCAAGAGGAGCAACGATCCCAGTCTGATTGGGCCCAATGCAGCAGGCGTGCTCCCTGTCGCAGATGCAGCCGCAGCCTCGCCGTCCACGTTGGCCACAGTTGTCGTCGTCCATTTAAGCACCACAGCTGGCGGGTTCACACTCTAACAGCGTCTGGTGTGCAGGTTTCCATTCGAACGGCTGCAACAGTGCACGAGCCATTTGTGACGCAGCACCATGGTCCACTGCCATTGCCATCAAGGTTTCTCACGTAGCAGCCTCCAACATGAAGTTTCGGCCAAATTTGGCACTTTGACACGGCCGTGCAGCTAGGCACAGCTCTCAAAGATGCAGACTGCGTCTGATTAGGTTTCCAGAGAGCTGCAAACAAACGGAGACACCCAAGGCTAGTGCTAGGGCCGCAAGTCCAGCAACATACGTCGCTTTGCAGCCATTTGCCAAATGCTCCGCCTGAAAGGCAACGAGAGTACAAGCCATCGCCAGAAAACACAACCGAGTAGCAGTAGTAGTGGCAGTTGCAGTGGCAGTCTAGATTGCAATGAAGCAACACTGCAGGCTGTCACATGTTGGTGGTTATTAAAATTGCCAAATTTCTAATTTGGCAAACAAAGAAAGACACGGCAAATCCTAAAACAGGCGCACATTAGCAAATTGTGCAAATAAGAAAATCAAGACAGAACGCAAAATGCAAAGTTTTGCAAACAAGGCAGTCTTTTTTCTAGGCCACAAATGGCGGTCAGAAAAAAAACAAAAGTCTTTTTCTTAAATCCAACAAAAAAAATCAGGTTGAGAATGGATGTGGCTGAGAAAAAGATCTTCCGGGGTGCACAAAGAGCCGCAGACCATTTTTGACTTCTACGTTACGTGCAAGCTTTTTGCCTTTCTGTCTCACTTTTGAGCTTTTGAGACTTGAGGGAAAGATTGGTCTCTCACAAGTTTGCGGCTGGTCTTGGTCATCCATTTTCTGTTTTGCGGTGGCTCTCTCTTATATCTGGTTTTCCAAACTGCGTTATGTTGCAGTGTAGTCTCTGTCTGTTTCGTTGATAGCGCAAGTTCTTCTTCCCGCTTCCGGCCGGAACCCGCTCCAGAACGCGGCCCTG